AAAAATTTGAAAGAAAAAGAGAGAAAAAACTAAGGATATTGTAAAGAAAAAAATAAAGAAATTTATAAAGAAGTGACTTCTACCTTCATCACAAGTGTAAATAATTTTAGTGACTTATAGTCTTCTCTTAAATGATAACGCATAATCTTTTCTTCCTATATCTTATCTATCAACAAATTGTCAGCCTTTAGTAGGTAGACCAGACAGCAAACATAACTAGATCAACTAATGCTATTTTATTGTAAAGCTACATTAACATAATCTTGCAAATCTGGGTGTAAAATTCTCCTGCTGTCACCTTTACAGCCAAAACACTTAGGAAGGATCCCTTTTTCCTCCACCCACTATACAGTTGTAGGCTCTGCGGCCTCTTATCTGACTGTTCCCTTGGCAGCATCTCTTTGCCTGCCAGTCTCTCCCAAGGCCTTTCCCATATATATAAATATCCATAAAACGTTGCCATTTCAGTGCTGATGTGAGCAAAAGTCCATTAAGTGTTAACAGCAATAACAATGTATCTATTTTAATCTTGATCACATAATCCCACTTTATATTCCTTCCTTTTATTTTTGACAAGAATAGAATAGAATAGAATAGAATAGAATAGAATAGAATAGAATAGAATAGAATAACAGAGTTGAAAGGGACCTTGGAGGTCTTCTAGTCCAACCCCCTGCTTAGGCAAGAAACCCTACAACACTTCAGACAAATGGTTATCTAATCTTAAAAACTTCCAGTGTTGGAGCATTTACAACTTCTGGAGGCAAGTTGTTCCACTGATTAATTGTTCTGACTGTCAGGAAATTTCTCCTTAGTTCTAAGTTGCTTCTCTCCTTGATTAGTTTCCACCCGTTGCTTCTTGTCCTGCCCTCAGGTGCTTTGGAGAATAGCTTGACTCCTTCTTCTTTGTGGCAGCCCCTGAGATATCAGAACACTGCTATCATGTCTCCCCTAGTCCTTCTTTTCATTAAACTAGACATACCCAGTTCCTGCAACCTTTCTTCATATGTTTTACTCTCCAGTCAATATTGATCTTTAGTTCCTTCAAAAAATATCCAAGAACTTGACTTCTTTTCATGTTTTCATTGCTCCTTCTCACAACTTCAAAGCTTTAATAATCCAATATAGGAAGATTAACGCGGTCACTCTCTTGGTTTGTTATTTACATATCCCTTTTAATTAACAAGGCATCGGCTGATTTCTTTCGTATGTCCAGTATAACTTCTTTTTCCATGTCCTTCTTGTGGCCTGCCATTTTTAAACCCATTTCAAATCAATCTCAATCATGTCAGGTAATATTTGTTTCTCTTCCATAGCACATTTTAAACATAATCTATAGGGGCAGCACTCTTAAAATTAACTTCTGAGTCATTTGTTCAAAAATATCCTTCAATACATCTGTTATTGAAATATTTTTGCTTCACTCTGTATTTATAAGTCAAGGCTGAATGTTCTTCTCCATTAACTGTAATTTTTTGTTCCATCTAGTTCTCTGTAGTGTCCAAATTTAAAGTCTTTTCTTATTTTTTTAAGAATTCAAAACAAAAGCATTTTTCCACAGGAATGGATTCTTTATCATTAAATCCAAAATCTGATTTCAAATTTATCTGGAGCCTTACTGAATTTATAATTTTCTAAAATCAAAGTTTTAACCATCTTTTATTGTACATTCCACACACACACAAAATCTGTTTATTTGTTTAGTACATTTGTTTTCTGCCCATCCATGCTTCAAGGTAGATTCCAGGTAGTTCTTAAGTTCTTAAACCTGTTTTTGAAACTTCCAAGGAAATTCACCCAGTGCTGTAAAATGTGTTGATCTAAAGATTTCTAATAGCTGAAAAGCAATTAATAAACAATTTCTGAAGTGATTAGAAAAGGAGTTATGTTAGAATGCCCAACAAAAATATCTCTGGTTTCAAATCCATATGTTGCTTTGTCATTTTTTTCCAGAAAAATATGATAAAAAGACTACATATCTAATCTTGCACATTCTAACCGCAACTATTTGCACAACAATGGAAAAATGATGAGATTCCATCCGAGAGGAATGTAATTAAGAAAATATTAGAATGTGCAGAAATGGATAGACTAACGCTTACTATCAAGAATAAATTGAATAAATTGAATATTTTTTTGATATGGGGACATATTTTATCAATGGTTAGACAATAGAAACAGAAGTTAGAAAGGAGGAGATATAAAAGGAGAAAATGCTAAAGTGGAGAGTTGTTAAAGAAGATGAAGTTGTATTATTGTTATTATATTATCATATTATTATATTATCAATATTACAGTGATGACTACCACAACAAATATGTGTATCATGATTGTTTAAAAATAACTGCACCCAGGCCGCACACTGTTTGATGAAAATTGAATGTTATATAAATAAAACAAATAAAATATTTTTAAAAACGAGTTATGAAAACCCAGTGTCCTTTTAAAGGCATTAACCACGGTTTCAGTAAAAACAACAACAACAACAAAGTCCTTCCCTCATCTCCCAGCTCTCTAAATTGTCTTGAGTTGTCTCACGAAGAACAACTGTCCAGAACATTTGTGGGCAATCTCAAGTCCTCTTCTCCTCCAGAGAGGAATTACGAAGAACTGAACTACTTGCCTGCTCATTTTATCATGGTCATCGATTCCATTTTTCATGGAGCTGTTTCCAGTTGAGCCAGGGGTGTATGAATCTAGTGTTTTGAGGTTTTATTGAGCTCTTATGCAGTTTTAGTTGATTTTTTTGGGGGGGGGGGGGGTTTAACTGCTTTTTAATCTGCTTCTCTTTGTTTGCTATTGCAAGCTCAGACCACGAAGTGTGGTTAGTAAAGGAAGCCAAAGATCAATATTTCTAACCCTAATCCTAACCCTAACCGTGGCAACTTTAAGAGTTCTGGGCTTCAACTCCCAGAATTCCTCAGTCAGCCAATACTATGAACAGATAGAACATAACTTCTACCAACTCACAACCTCAGAAAATACCAAAATAAAGAATTTTGAAAGTCCTTTTGTATAGATTGATTAGATCAAACATCAGGATCATCCAGATGTTGCTTAGAGAACAAGCAACTGGATGTGAAATCATTAATCACAGGCAAGGCAACCAGTTATTCGCATATACATTGTCCCCCTTCATCCAATAACTTGTTTCTCTTCAAATTAAAGACAAACAGTTATAAATATTAAACAGACATGTACTAGTCCAGACAAACAGGCAAGTACAGTACTAGTCCACACACATGTACTACCGTAATACTTCCTGACCTTTGAAAAGAGGCACAAGAAAATATAATTTATAATATAAAGAGATCAATTTCAGTATCTATCTGACTTTTATGGAAAGGGATCTTACAATATATTCTGTCTGGAAACAGACATGTAGGTACCTGCCCTAAAATCCAAAAATCAATTATTTTCCTCAAGAAACAGGAATAGAGCAGAATAGAATTGAAATAAGAGTAGAGTAGAGTAGAGTAGAGTAGAGTAGAGTAGAGTAGAGTAGAGTAGAGTAGACTAGACTAGAGTAGACTAGAGTAGACTAGAGTAGAACAGAACACAATAGAACAGAACAGAACAGAACAGAATAGAATTTTTTATTGGTCAAGAGTTTGGACACACGTAGAATTTGTCTCTGGTGGATAAGCTCTCAATATATATATACAAACAACAAATATAATCATAAGAAATGGTAGTAGAAAAGAGAAGAAAGCTAATAGAAATACAGCCATACTACATGGGTAAATATCCTTAGACATAAGACAATACTGTGCTAATTAGATGTTCAGCATTCTCTACAGTATTCTCTGCACATTTCTTCCTTCTTTAACAGAATCGTCCCTCTAAATATAACCAACTTTCCATGTCTTCTCCAAGCTACTACAGTAGTAAACGTCAGCTAATGGAAATGAGATTGTATACAACCAGAGACCTGAGAATTTGGTCAAGGTGTATGAATTGAAGAACGAAAGCAATGTTGGCATTGAATTCACAGGTTTCCTCTTAAGCCTTTTCAGGAACCTTAAAAAGGGGCTATATTAACATGCTCAGAAACTCCCCCGTTCTTGTAATTTTCCAGATCAACAGGATCATTTTAATGAGTGCGACATTCATTTCTACTTTATAATAGATTCCCCTTTGCTTTCCGTCACTTTGCTATCTGTTTACAACACTCTGAAACCCCTCCCTGAGGAGCAATCCATTTTATTTTCGGGGAAGGTCCATCTTTGAAGACCCTCAAGGCTTTCAAAATATAATTTCTCTTCCCCTTCCCCCAAAAAACAATAAGTGGATCAAAAGTACATCCACTTTGCAAAAGCTATTGCAAATTATAATTTAGTCCTGCCAAACGGTTTTGTGCACACTGTTTTGTGAAGGGGTTATACTTACAAAGAACATCACTTTGTAAATGCAGCCCCATGATTCCCTCTTTCTTTTAGGAAATTGTATTGAGATTCTCTTAATATAGCATGCAAATGAAAAAAGAAATATAGTAGGGAGAGATGGGGAAGCAAGGGAGAAAGGAAAGAGAGGATAAAGAGAAAGAGGGAGAAACAAGCATTGACTTCCAACTTTTTTTCAGCACTGTAAAATAGAATTACAGCCTCAACTTTTGACTTTTGCATAGTCAGTAAATACCATTTCTATAACAAAAAAACCCTAATCTAATTAGCAAAAGCCAAAATCTGCATCAAAGAGCATCGGCATCAAAGAGCAAAAGTCTAGAAGTGATTTACAAGTAGAAACAAAACGAGATCTATTGTTTTCTCTAATGAAAACAGTTAATGTTGCCGTCTCTGCTAGCTCCATCCATCGCCTTTTTTCCATCCAACCTCATTATTTTCCAGTATGTACAGGAGTGGTTTTTTAAAAAACTTTAATCCTTACTTATTAATGTTGCAAAGATAAAAGCTAAAGAAAGAAAACCACTGATAAAATGAAAGACGTCGTTTCTTAACAAAGAACCCCCACGCCCATCGTCCCCAGACCCACCATCTCACCAATAAATGAGGGAAAGTCCATCGAAACGTTCTAGATCGCTTCCCCCTGGCTTCAGATAGGACATTCTGCCCTTCACTGGATATCTGGAATTCTTTACTCTTCCCAGCAACAGTCTGAGAGGGAACAGCAGGTCCAATCTCTCAGCTGCAACGCCATCTCTGTAACCCCAAAACACGGCTTGGAAAGAGAGTGAGTGGCCTTCTCCTCCCAGGGGATCCAAACCATCCACAATGGGATCTAAGCGGTCTTTTCTGGAAAGAGAATGTTTGCGGATGATTTTCAGCCCTGCCTTTGACCGTTTCTCTCTCCAGGACCTTGCCGCTAACGAAAGTGGATTGATGGTTTTGCTCCGGCAGCCTTTGGAACGCGGTGTCCTAGGAACAGATGTTGTGACTCTTTAGTTAATCCCAAAGATTTGTTCCCTTGAGGGTAGCGTCATCTGAAGGGCTTCCAAGGTTTTAGTGCTGCTGGGTCCAGATAGAACGACAGAAGGATGGACGTCGAAGGGATGGAGACAGCGAGATGCACAGGGACCCCACCTCTTGTCTTCTCTCGGTTCAGGCAAAGAATCTTTCTCCAGAACTTTGAAAAACAGAGATGGGCCACAGGCAGCGGTGCATCAATGCAGCTGGGTTTGGGGGTGGGGGTGGGGAAATGCTGAGAAATGCACCAACCGTTGGAAGGAGGTCTTGGGAAGCGAGCAGGCAGGCAATGGGTGCTGGACATAGGGTTGGGGCTTTTTCTGGGCCCCTGAATTTTAGAAATGCTATTAGGGAAGTTGAGGTTTTCCCCCCCACACAATTGAGGACATCTCCTTGACTCGGGAGGAGACCAAGCAAAGAAGAATTTTAGAATTTTCCTAGGCATGGAAACAAAATGAAGATCCTGTGGTAAGAGAAGAGAAGGAGATGAGAGATTTATGAAATTTATTCCGTGCGGAGAACCACTTTGAAAAATGGCCACATGGCTTGAAAGTCTTCCCTTCTCTGTCCCTCCCTCCCTCCTTCCCTCTTCCTTCCTTCTTTCCTTCCTCCCTCTCTCCCTTCCTTATTTTCCCTTCCTTCCTTCCTTCCCTTTCCTCTTCCTTCCTTCTTTCCTTCCTCTCCCTTCCTTATTTTCCCTTCCTTCCTTCCTTCCTTTCCTCCATCCTTCCTTCCTCCCTCCCTTCCCCTCCCTCCCTCCCTTCTTTCCTCCCTCCCTCCCTTTTCCTTCTTTCCTTCCTCCCTTCCTCCCTTCCTCCCTTCCTTATTTTCTCTTCCTTCCTTCCTCCCTCCCTCCCTTCTTTCCTCCCTCCCTCCATCGCTCCCTTTTCCTTCCTTCCTTCCTTCCTTCCTTCCTTCCTTCCTTCCTTCCTTCCTTCCTTCCTTCCTTTCCAGCCACCCAGCTCTGCAAAGCTAGTCTAGGCCCCCCAATTATCAATTCAAAATCAACTTTAACAAAGCAGTGTAATTCAGCCCCAAATAGTTGTGAAGACTTCTAGAGCACCTAAATTCATGCTCCCATTTCCAAATTACGTCAACCATTTAGCTTGAGAAAAAGAATTCTGTGCAATCTGGAAAGCTACAGGTTTTTGTTTTCCTCCAGAGCCATACTCATCTCATCCTGCCTTCCCATTCCCATTGCATATTCCGCCTAAAGTAAGCAAGGAAATAATCCAAACATTTCCCAACCATTTTTTCCCCAGACCAGCTCCTGGTGCATTCCCAAGTAACTGTAAGCCTGGGGCGCCCTCTAGTGGAGGACAAAAATCCCCAGCCTTGGAAGCCCTTCTGTTCCCATGAACAGAACTTACTTTCTCCTTCCCCTGTTTCTATTTTCTCTGACTTTATTTGTTTGTTTGTTTAGAATATATATATAGCAGCCCATCTTCCAATCTTTATAATTCCCTTCCCCTTCCTCTTTATTTTAAACCCTTTCTAATCCTTTTCAAAGCCATAAATCACTACTTCTGATTTAGGTTAGGTTTAGGTTTAGGTTTATTTGATTTGTATACCGCCCTACTCCCGAAGGACTCAGGGCGGTGAACAGCCAACAATAAAATACATAAATACAAAAAATTTAAAAACCAGATAAAATCAAATTAAATCATTTTGGCCCAGACAGATTAAAACACCCCAATAATTTAAAAACAGATTAAAATTTACATATTTAAAAAGGGAAGAAATTAGGCCAAGCCCGCCTGATGGAATAAAAAGGTCTTCACAGCACGGCGGAAGGAGCGCAGATCCGGGATCCTCCGTATCTCCGGGGGGAGCTCATTCCAGATGGTAGGTGCCCCCACAGAGAAGGCTCTCCCCCTAGGGGCCGCCAGTCGACATTGTTTGGCCGACGGCACCCTGAGGAGCCCCTCTCTATGAGAGCGTACTGGCTGGTGGGAGGCTATTGGTGGTAGTAGGTGGTCCTGTAAATTTTCCTTCTTTTGGCAAAAAGTTTCCAGTCTTTTAAAAAAGTCTTTATCATTTTTTTCCCCATGATCACTATTTCCACAGGGTCTGTCAATTTTACAATCTAATCTTCCAGTGTGGATATTTTATTATTCATCTATCTGCGTACCTGACTAGGTGGCTCAAACCTGACTAGGTGTCTCAGTGGCTAAGACACTGAGCTTGGCAATGAGAAAGGTCTGCAGTTCAAATCCCTAGTACAGGTCTCCTGCGTGAGCAGGGGGTTGGACTAGATGACCTCCAAGGTCCCTTCCAACTCTGTTACTGTTACATGCCACTATATCATTTATAATATTAATTTTCTATCTTTCTTTTCTAGTTGACTAGGATCAATTCTGTTTTCATTCTAGGATTAATCTGCAATACACATAGCCCTCAATTTACGACCATTTGTTTCATTAAAAGAAGGATTTGGGGTGACATATTAGCAGCGTTCCAATATTTGAGGAGTTGCCACAAAGAAGAGGGGATAAATTTATTCTCCAAAGCACCTGAAGGCAGGACAAGAAGCAACAGGTGGAAACTAATCAAGGAGAGAAGCAACCCAGAACTACGGAGAAATTTCCTGGCAGTGAGAACAATTAATCAGTGGAACAACTTGCCTCCATTAAAAACCTCACTGGAGATTTTTAAGAAGAGACCTGACACCCATTTATCTGAAATAGGGTTTCCTGCTTGAAGAGGGCGTTGGACTGGAAGACCCCTTCCTACTCTGTTATTCTGTTCAAGGACTGTTTGAAGTTACAACAGCACTGAAAAAGTTATATTGAGTGATGGAGAGGAAGCCAGTGCTTTTTTTGGCAGAGAACAAACACAAACTTTTTGTTGATATTACAAATTACGTTCATATATAGCACCACAAACAAAGAGTACAGTCACCATGTGCTTTACTGCTTAACTATTTAACTGTAACAGGAAACTCTACTTAGAACAAAAGAACATAAGAGTATAGATATAGATATAGATATAGATATAGATACATTAGAGAGGGTCCAGAGATATTTTACTAGAAGAGTACTCAAATCCTGTGCTCAAAATAAAATTCACTATCCCACCAGGCTTGAAATTTTAGGTCTACATTCCAACCTAGGCTTAGTTCATAAGATTATTTACCAAAAAGTCCTACCTGTAAATGAGTACTTGAATTTCAACCGTAATTACACAAGGGCTCTCAATAGATTCAAACTCAATGTAATTCGCTCTAATCTTGATTGTAGGAAATATGACTTCTGCAATAGAGTAGTAAATGTCAGGAACACTCTACCTGATCCTGTTGTTAGTCTTGCTAATCCCCAGACGTTTTACTTTAAATTGTCTACCGTGGACCTTTCATGTTTCTTAAGAGGTCCCTAAGGGAGTGTGCATAAGCACACCAGCGTGCCTTCCGTCCCTGTCCTACTGTCCCCATTTATATGTACTCATTCTATGTATTTATGGCTATGTTTTGCTTATTTATTTCCTTTTATTTATCCAATTTTTTTTCATGTGTCCATGTCTATGTCTATACTGTTACTTGTTTCCTTGTACTTGTTGATAAATAAATAAAAAAATAAAATAATAAATAAGTAAATAATAAATAAATAAATAACAATAAATAAATGATTGAATGAATAAATAATAAATAAATGATTGATTGAATGAATGAATGAATGAATGAATAAATAAATAAATAATAAATCAAATAATAAATAAGTAAATAATAATAATAAATAAATAAATAAATAATAAATAAATGAATAGCAATAAATAAATAAATGATTGACTGAATGAATAAATAATAAATAAATAAATGATTGACTGAATGAAAGAATGAATGAATAAACAAACAAATAAACAAATAAATAATAAATAAAATAATAAATAAGTAAATAATAATAATAAATAAATAACAATAAATAAATGATTGAATGAATGAAAGAATGAATGAATGAATAAATAAATAAATAAACAAACAAATAATAAATAAATAAAATAATAAATAAGTAAATAATAATAATAATAATAATAATAATAATAAATAACAATAAATGAATGAATGAATGAATGAATGATAAATAAATAAATGATTGATTGATTGAATGAATGAATGAATAAACAAACAAACAAACAAACAAACAAACAAACAAACAAACAAATACCATAGATCCAAACTTGTAAACGCTGCCATCTACTGGCTGAATACTACGGTAGTTGCCGCCTAGAAATACATTCCAACAATGAATTGCAACAGTTGAAAAGGCCCAACAGGGACCTCAGCTGGCCCTGGGTTCAAGGCGTTTGATCTATTCTTCCTGTATCATGATGGTTCCTGGTGTGGTTGCAGAGCTAGTTGTAATAGAAACAACAAATTCTTCTCCTCGGTTTCCAGCAGTTCTCTGCCAAGAATGTTGCTGGAGAAACCAATGTAAGCCAGTAAATCTACCACTAAGATAGGAAATCAGTCAAACAGGTATTTTTACCCTTAATGGAAAAAACAAACAAACACACCAGCCACTACAAATGGAGAGGCTTCTTTTTTGTCCCAACAGACAGGAGTGCTTTAATAAATAACACAACTGTCTGCTAAGTAGCTTCTTGGAGCACTGGGATGGCTTTTAAAAGTGGTAGAAGGAACCACATGAGATTTGACATTTGCAAGTGCAGAAACAGGGTTTCCCAACCGTAACCATTTGAAGCAGGGGTGAAATCCAACAGATACTGACAGGTTCTGGAGAACCGGTAGCGGAAATTTTGAGCAGTTCGGAGAACCGGCAAATACCACCTCTGGCTGGCCCCAGAGTAGGGTGGGAATGGAGACTTTGCAATCTCCTTCCCCCAGGAGTGGGGAGGAAATGGGGATTTTGCAGTATCCTTCCCCTGGAGTGGGGTGGGAATGGAGATTTTGCAGTATCCTTCCCCCAGGAGTGGGGAGGGAATGGGGATTTTGCAGTATCCTTCCCCTGGAGTGGGGAGGGAATGTAAATTTTGCAATCTCCTTCCCCCAGGAGTGGGGAGGGAATGGGGATTTTGCAGTATCCTTCCCCTGGAGCAGGGAGGGAATAGAGATTTTGCAATCTCCTTCCCCCAGGAGTGGGGAGGAGGATTTTGCAGTATCCTTCCCCTGGAGTGGGGAGGGAATGTAAATTTTGCAATCTCCTTCCCCCAGGAGTGGGGAGGGAATGGGGATTTTGCAGTATCCTTCACCTGCCATGCCCACCAAGCCACACCACGCCCGACAAGCCACGCCCACAGAACTGATTTGAAGATAAATGAACTTCAACTCCCACAATTCCTATGCTGGCTGGGGAATTCTGGGAGTTGATGTCCATGTGCCCTAAAGGTACCAGCCAAGGGTGGGAAACCCTGGGCTAGAAGATTGAACAGACTTGAGATTGGACAAGAGTGAAACAAAACTGGATTGACAAGCGAGTGCCCTTAATAACCTCCCAGAATCATTGCCCACTGCTAAGCAGACTACAGGTGGAATCCAAAATACCTGAAGGGAATC